AAGTGGGCTTCTGACAAGATGGAGGTGTTGTAGATCAGGTCTGAGATTTGGATGAACAGCCTCTTCTGGATGGCGTTGCATACCCCTGAAAGATCAGGTGCGTAGTCTGGGGTTCTTCCTTGAACCTTGTTGCTGGAGGCTCGTGGCTGTCGTGGCGCAGAGCAGAGCATCTGTTTCCCAGTTTGGCTGGTTTACTAGTTCTGGCTGTTCAGGGACAAGAATACCTTAGTACAGTAATCCATGTGCCAGGGTTGACTATGGCAATGTGATCTTTGTGAGATTGCTTTTGAACAGAGTTCAGAAATTGCAGGTAGTGCAAAATGCAGCTGAGAGATTGCTGATCAGCACAGCTGCATGAAATAAAAAAAACTGTGCTTGAAAGATCTGCACGGGCTACTTGTAGTGAACCTAATTCAAGGTGCTTGTGTTAAAGCCCCAAACGGCTTGGGACTCCATAATCTGGAGGAGCATTTGCCCATGTGAGTTGCTGGAGAACTTCTTTTGGCTGTGCCATCACCTAGTGAAATCTGGATGATTTGAACTCTGGATATTAATATTATCATTTTATTATCCATTAAATTTATATACCACCCTTCACCCAAGTATTTCAGGGTGGTTCACAAGATAAAAATGCAGGATAAAAGCTCAAAATAAATAGGGCTTTTGGTATACTCTTCCCAAACCCTTTGATTAAGATAAATTTTAGTTGTATTATAACCATGAAATTATGTTATAAAATCTTGTTGCAAACATTGTACTCTGTATGCTTTGTCATATTCAAGTCATTATTGTTTCCACAACAGCTGCATTATTCCCACCAAAATGTTGTGCATTGTAACAAGCGAAAATTTCTACCCACCACCTTTCAGAAGAAATTCCAGTGCAAAGCAATTTCCAATGTCAATCAGGAAACAGAAGAGGATACTTGTTATGTGCTGAAGTCTTAGTACAAGTCCTGTTTGCATTATTATCATTAGGAAGAACACAAAGGGGAATTAAGTTGATTCTTCTGAACTCAACTGGTGATCACTTGTCTTTTTCTATCTGTTGTATAATGAATGGAGGGATGCAAACTGAGATCAAAGCTGCACACAACAACAAAATAAGACAGCCTCCCGCTGATCCAGCAAGACAGATCTGCTTATGAATGCAACCTTCTGCATGCATTTGCTGATACGGGTGTTCATGTGGATTCTCATCAGAACACTAATGAATTGGAGAAATGCATTTTTAAAAACCAAATAGACTTACCAAAGTGTTGAGAAGAATGAACAATGATCTATCAGAGTGGCCAAAGAGTGCAAATAATACATCACATACAGCACTTCCACCCTCTTAGTGTCCATGGGCATTTTTAAAGAAATCCTAGAGTTCCTTTTCATACAAGTATCCAAGCTTGTGGTGGTCTATGAAACCATCCTTCTGATAAAGGGATGCCATATTTTATCAAAGTCACCAGGTATGGCAATATTTCACAATATCCCATACATGCATTTCTCTTTAAAGAGTTGGCATATAAGTCCTTCCAGCCTGCCATTTCATGATCTCTCTCATGTTGCCCCCAAATCCTATCACATGTTCACATTCCCTATACATGTGCCATTAATCCCATGAGCCTTATACCCCTTCAAGCACAGTGGAGACATTACCTTTTTATTACCAGTGGGGATGTGCAACTTGGGCACCAGACATTAATGCACAACTAGTTGCTTATCTGGGGCACGGGTGGCGCTGTGGGTTAAAGCCTCAGCGCCTAGGGCTTGCCGATCGAAAGGTCAGCGGTTTGAATCCCCGCGGCGGGGTGCGCTCCCGCTGCTCGGTCCCAGCGCCTGCCAACCTAGCAGTTCGAAAGCACCCCCAGGTGCAAGTAGATAAATAGGGACCGCTTACTGGCGGGAAGCTAAACAGCGTTTCCGTGTGCGGCTCTGGCTCGCCAGATGCAGCTTTGTCACGCTGGCCACGTGACCCGGAAGTGTCTCCGGACAGCGCTGGCCCCCGGCCTCTTAAGTGAGATGGGCGCACAACCCCAGAGTCTGGCAAGACTGGCCCGTACGGGCAGGGGTACCTTTACCTTTACCTTTTTAGTTGCTTATCTCTTCAGCAGAATCATGGTCCATGATGACAGGGGAGTCTCTTAACCTCTAACAGGTGAAATTGTTACTAGGATTTTATATGGTGATGCAAGTGAAGAATTTGGCCAGGCAATTTCCTTTAGACACTGAGCAGAACTGGGCACGGAGTTAGATGTGCAGAAGTGGCCTTGATTTCAACAGAATGCAAGTGCATATAATATAATTGTACACTACGTTGCGATCGTTATAAAGAGTTGACAGTAAAAGGAACCAATGATATGGCTGTGGGAAACAAGATTTTGTGTGTATGTGGTGCGGTCAAAATTTGTGAAAACACGTTCCTATCTCCCTCCTCTCCCACAACGTCCAGCATCTATACCTGCAGTGGACAAATCATACTGAGTCAGATTGTTGTTATTTGAGTCAATTCGAATTTATCAAGGCTTTCGTATCTAGTCCTTGGTGGCATTTGCACACTATCTAGCCACATGCAAAGGGCATCGTTTATCCAGATATCATTTGTTTTCTTTGACACTCTCCAAAAGACTCTTGAACACTCCGACATAAAGCTTCAGAGAACACTATCACTCTGGGATCAATTATAGAAGTTGGAAAGCAACTGTAGTATAAAGAGAACGTAACTTTTTTTTTTCAAAAAATGCTTCTATCTGGAAGGGTTTTTTCTTTTTTTAAAACCCTCCTCCTGACAGAGGCCTTGAAAATAAAAGTAGTTTTTATGTGTCACCTGGTATCTAGCAATCAGATATAAATGCAGAAAGCAACCACACCTTTCCCCTGAAGTAATCTTTATCTTCCTGCCTCCTTTCCTCCCTTGTCGTTATATCACTTTGGCTTTTGACCTGCAACCACTTGTATTATTACCTCAAGAAAATTGAATTCTGTATATGACACAATAGGGGAAGCACGTGCCTTTGACAACATATAGGATAAAGGAAAATGTTACCTGTAACTGCTGTAGCCTTCCCCCTCCTCCAAAGCTGATTCCTATAAGTCAAAAATTAGGTCAATAACATTTTGTGTTGGATGTCGGTTTCCAACGTTTGATTGGAAAATCTTTATCCTTTGATTTTTCTGTGGCTTCTCAAAGTACTTGCTTTTGAACCATGTATTTTACAATGTGTTGCCCTTGAACGGCAGTTGTTAAGCAATCTGCACACCTCTACAGTACTTCCTGTTGAAATATATTGATTTCCTCTTTGGCTGTGCTAAGCTAATATGAGAAAAAAGTGGATGTCTCTTCTGAGAAATAGCTTCAGGGATCTCTAATATGGTTCCAGTAGCCTACATGAATCACCTACTATTATTATTATTATTATTATTATTATTATTAGAAAAGACTTGTATTTGTCTAGTACAGTCGTACCTTGGTTTTTGAACAGCTTAGTTCACGAACAACTTGGAACTTGAACGCCACAAACCCGGAAGCAGGTGTTCTGGTTTGCGAACTTTGCCTCGGAAGCCGAATGTCTGGCGCAATTTTCGATTGGCTGCAGGACACTCCTGCAGCCAATCGGAAGCTGTGCCTTGGTTTCCGAATGTTTCGGAAGTCGAACAGACTGTCGGAACCCATTCTGTTTGAAAACCAAGGTACGACTTTATTATCTTAAAAATACGTTGAGCTTTTATGAAGGCATCAAATTGTCTGCCATAAAAGCACGTGTTTTTTTTAAAAAAAGGTGTACTGTCCATCTGTGCAGAAACTTATAAAATCTCCATTTAGAACAGGAGTGGGAAATTTCAGGCCCATAGGCCACACATGGTCCTCCAGACCTCCCTATGTAGCCTACAGGCTTCTCCTCAGGTCACATTCCTCACTACCTTGCTTTGCCCTTCCTTTCGTGGTTTTTGCCTGGCTGGAATGTGTCCTTGAACTCTGAGAATGTCTCTTGCTTGCTGGGATGGAGAATACAGAGGTATGTGTAGAAACATGCAAAGATGTAAAATTTTACCTGTACGGAGGTAAAAATTAGTTGCTCTACTCATTTTTGCCTCTGGCACCTCCCACCACTGGGGTGTGGTTCCCGCTACCACCCGGTGCCCAGAACTGAATAAGGCCTCAGACTGAAAAAGGGTCCCCAGACCTGATCTAGGAAGAGCGCCACAAGGTGGAAATACAAGATCTAGGAATGTTATAAATAAATGTATAAGCAAGCTGGTAAGATCTGCTGTAGACAGAATGAATAAGCAAATCCCCCCCTTTTTTTAATTAAAAAAAAGGTTATTTATGTATGCTTCTACTGTGGCCCGTGTTTTGTTAGCCCCAAAATGGAAAACAAGCGAGGTCCCAACTAAAGAAAAATGGCAACTCAAGTTGACAGAATATGCACAACTTGCAGACTTAACATATAGAATAAAAGATCAGGAAGAACATACGTTTAAAGAAGATTGGACAACGTTTATTGAATATATGGTAAATAATTGTATACAGCTGAAAACGCTGGCAGCATTAAGATAAATCCAACAGTGTAAACAAGTTTTGATGGATGCAATAATGGAATACTGAGTGGTATAGTTTTTGTAAAACGTTCAGGGATTTATGATATGTAAAATGAACCAGGGAAAAAGGAGAAGGGAAATCTTTGACATCTAAAGGATGTAATATGAGTATTTTAAATTGTAAAACAGAAAACTTAATAAAAATTATGTATAGATATGATAAGCAAATCTAAACAGTGAGGGAGGTAACCGAACCTCCCAAGGAAGGGACAACTCCCTATCTTGTGGTTGGCAGACCTGGGCGAGGCGTGCTATATTTATTGGGTATTCTAGATTTTTATCTGCTCTGCTATTTATTGACAACTTCTTTACTGCGGTGGCGGGGGAGGGGGGAGAGAGAAATCCAATGACAGTACTATATCAAGGCTATAGTTTTATCTAAATTTTTAAAAGGTTTCTTTTCTTTTCCAGCTTTCATGACGAATGGGCTGGAGGCATCACAGAGACCGGCTGTTTTGGAGAAAACGATTTACACAGCAAACCAGCCAAACCCAGCAGTGCACTTGGTAGACAGCTGGGACCGGGGCATAACGTTGCCATACATACCATAAGTACGATACATGTTGTCGAGGTCTATGGGCATGAAAAGGACCCACAGGGGACAATGGATACTCATTTACCTGGATAGGCAGTCTCATAAACGCAACGAAGGATTTGCTGGACCAAAGCCAAATGTGAATAGAGATACCTGCTGAATGTGCCTTAAAACACTGTATAGAAATGAATCACTGCATTGTTCCCATGCATCAGTTACAATAAACGTCAGAATATTGACAGATTTAACAGATCTGACAAATGTTATTTGAAAATGCATTCTGTTTTCTTGTTTTTAAATTAAACAGTACATCTCAGAATTTAACAGCAATTTGCTTTCCCAAAAAGAAGGTGATCCTATCATGAAAACAAGGAAACACGTATATCCGGTATATGTTTCTGTATCTCTGTTCTTAACAGTTTGTGCTTTTGCTGCCTGTGAAGGTTTTTGACAGCAACAAGGACCAATGCACATGACTGCGAATTTATTTTATCCTGTTTTTATAAGCATATCAGATAATACATGAAATGTATTTTTTCACAATAAATATGAGGGGATGATAATAAAGATTTTTAATTAAGAAAAAATGTCAAATTTAGATGTGATTTCATTGTTCAGATTCTGAGGAAACCATCCATTTCTAACTTTTATTTTTAGTTTCTCATACCTCAGCTAGCCCATATTAAAGGCATCCATTTATTTAAAAGATTTCCATCCTGCCTTTCCCACATATGGCTGTCCAAGGCAGCTGGGGACACGGGTGGCACTGTGGTCTAAACCACTGAGCCTCTTGGGCTTGCTGATCGGAAGGTCGGCGTTTCGAATCCCCGCAACGGGGTGAGCTCCCATTGCTCTGTCCCAGCTCCTGCCAACCTAGCAGTTCGAAAGCATGCCAGTGCAAGTAGATAAATAAATACTGCTACAGAAGGAAGGTAAACACTGTTTCCGTGTGCTCTGGTTTCCATCACAGTGTCCCGTTGTGCCAGAAGCGGTTTAGTCATGCTGGCCACATGACCCAGAAAGCTGTCTGTGGACAAACACTGGGTTCCTCGGCCTGAAAGCGAGATGGGCGTCACACCCCATAATTGCCTTTGACTGGGCTTAACCATCCAGGGGTCCTTTATCTTACCTTTACCAAGGCAGTTGGCATACAATTAAAACAAAACAACAGTTTGAAGGCAAAAATCAAACTAAAACATCAGACGAAAAGCTGCAATCACTTCGGAGAGAATGAAAGCTTATTCATAAACTCAAACCCTTGAAAGCCTTTGGTGAACAAAAGCTTTCATCAAATGCTCAAAATAATTCAGGCATTATGTTATCTGTGTTCAAATGGACTCATTTAGGGGGCTCAGGGATGCAAATACCGGTACAGACAAAAGTAGGTATTTATTCACACACTGCATAATTAAGCTTTGGAGACATTGCTGGCCACCATCTTGAATGGCTTTAAAAGAGGATTAGACAAATTTGTGAAAGAAGAGATTATCAGTTGCTCCTAACCCTGATGGATATGTTCTCCCTTCACTGCTGGAGGCACTGTACTTCTCAACACCAGTTTCTGGAAACCGCAGAAGGGGAGAGTGCTGCTGTGTTCAGGCTCTGCTTGTAGGCTTCTCTCGGGCATCTGGACAGCCATGATGGGAAGAGAAAACCAATTGCTGGAAACCACGGGAGGGGAAGTGTTTGTGATGGGTTTTTGCTCATCGAATGGCTCTTCCACAGAACCTTGAAGACAGAGTGATGAACAGAGAGGGGGAAGCTACAGGGATGCTTATAACACATTATACTTCTAGATGGGAAATTCAAAACGGAAATGACTCGTTGGCTGAACCAATACAGAAAAGGTAAGGTATGGTCCACATGAAGCCCCTTTCATTTGTGGCAGAGGTATTGCTGTGCTGCTGTTTTGCACGAATGAATCGCCGCTCATGGGGCACAGCGTACTACACGGCATCAGCCTTGCTTATAATGCATTCAGAGGGCACTAAAAAGGAGGAGGGCCTTAAGTCACGTGGGGATCAGGTGGTGCTTGAAAGGACACCTTTAAAAAAACCTATGTGCATTGACAGGTAATGCAAGTTAATGGAGAGTGTGATCTCTACTTTAACTTGTATGGGGAAGAAAATCCCACCCCAGCTGTTTTTGAGGTACAGCATCTTCTCCCTTCTGCCTGCAAGTTTATGGGGAGATTGCCCTTTCCCAATTGGAGTTAATGGAAAAAGAAGAGACTAGGCCCCATTAACAACTGGGAGGAGGAGGAGAAGCCCACACTCAATGACACTAGGGGTAACAGGGTCCAGACTGGAGAGTGTGAGGTTCTTCCTCCCCACCAACTGTTTACGGAAAACCCGTACTGCTAGCGCAATCACATTCCTCCCACAATCACAAGTGTAGCTTCACCCCCAGTTAAAACGGAAGGTTCAGGGGAAAGAGCTTTCAAATTAAGCACGGATATCTACATGGCATTGAGAAGTAGCATTAAACAAAACTGAGGAGGACTGTCCAGTTGTTGAGAGTAAAATAGAACTTAAACCTCATACCTACAAATTCACTCCCACCTTCCATCCTCAAAGTTAAAGGTTGAAGATGGGAAGTTGGGGGGGGCCTTCAGTAATGTGTTGCCCTGAGCGAGGACAAAATTGGATGCACCCCCCCCAACTTTCAGTAGGTACTACTTCTACTACTACTACTACTAATTTTATTATATTCTGTGCATGAGAACTGCCCTCACTGCCCTAAATCTGGCTGTGCTGGGATGAGAGTGGTGAAGAACCAGCTCTGCAGGATCAAATCTATGCACACCAATTATAGTGTAACAGGCCACTTGTCCACGGGATTCCAGGGGTCTTGACCCCCAACGAGTGTCTGTGCTCCTTTGGAGAACTGAGAATGCAGAGGAGGCTATAGTAGCTTTTAAAAATATGATTTATTCACATATTTACACCTGAATCTAGATGGAGGGAGTCCAGATCTTACTACATGGTCATCTCAAGAGGGGCTTGTTCCCCACAGCAGTGCAGCAGGTGGAGTCCAAGGCATCCCTCTCCCTACTTACCTTCAGCCAGCCTGCCAAAATGGTTCTGGGCTTCTCTCAGCTATCCCAAGTTTTCTGCCAAAGGCCCCAAACTCTTCCTATGACATCATGCCCAGTTACCCTGGCAACCTTCCAAATCCCGTCTCTGTTTACACTTCAGGGCGGGCGGGGGGGGGGGGGAGGACAGTTCTCTTGAATTGACAATGACCCTCAATAACCTGTATTGTTTCTTAATGGTTCTAGCTTGGACAGGTCACTTTGCATAGGCTAGCCCAGGAATTCCTCTGCAGCTAGAATTTCTCCCATCTGGTCCCAAATGGTCAAAATCTTACCATTTATTAATTTCTTGGGTTTAGGTGGACCCCATCCTCCCAAAAACCTATAACAATAGCAGTAATAGTGACCAGCTGGTTCACATGGAAAGCCATAGTAGTAGAACAATGCAAGTCGCCATAAAAGTTATCATAAAAGTAGGATGAAAAAACCCAGAATGAAGGTGGCAGGAGTCGCAATATTGCTACAGGTTTGGGGCATGTGTTGTGTGCCTTGTGAGCGGGCAAGAAATGGCTGGAGCAAGAGATAAGGACTAATGTGAAGCAATAGGTGTGTATACAGAAGTGACAATATTAGAACACTGTAATTTATTTAAACAATCTGGTACTATTAACTGCATAGTTACAGCTATATAAATAAACTGCACTCAAGATCATTTGGCGATGCCTGCGAATATGCTTTGTTTGTGATAGCTACCCCCCCCCCCCCGGAACTTGCTTTATTGCTCATGTAAAAATTACGTATCATCAGAAAGAAGTGCCTGAGAAAGATGAGAGCAGTGGAGAGTATTAAGCCAACACATAAAGAGAACCTGTTCATTAAATTAACCTCTTCCAGTGTTTACCATCTAATGAACTTCGGCAGGCAGCTCCTGTGGGTTCACTTTTGCAGTGGCAGCACAAAAGAGCATTCAGACCTGGACAAGCCATCCTTCCAGGGAAGTCCCCATCTCTGAACTCCCACTACACAACCTGTACAAGATGTTACTGGCTTTCTGTTGGTCCTAACAGGGCGAGCCAAGCCAACAGCAGCCCAAATAAGTCCATAAAGGCACTGAAAGAATGAGGACTTATAGAATGAGGACTTCCACTGGCCCACCTTCAACACCACTAGTGCTCTCTGGCCAGATTCGGGGTGTGTGTGTGTGTGTGTGCGCGCGCGCAACGGGTTGGACCCTTGGGATACATTCCAACTCTACAATCTTTGATTCTGTAGGGCAATGGCCTCCGGGGTACAATTAGGCTACCCAGGTAGCTTTTACCCTGGATGGCCCATTATTATCTAAGGTAGTTCTGGTTTGTATGCATTTATGGGTTAATTGGACACTGTGGTTTTACCAGACCTACAAAGGGGTACTATCACATCAGGGGTCTGATGCTAGACCTCATATGAGTTTCATGGTTAATCTATTCATTGAACTTGCATATGGGTAAACATGATTTCTGAAGCAAGAAGTGTACTTTTTCAAGCTTAGATGCTTAGACCTTCCCAGTGGCGTAGTGGATCAGGGCATCTGGCTGTTAACCAGAAGGTTGGTGTTTGAGACTGTGGGCAGGATTCGTGTACCTTCCAACTTTAAGATTCTGTGTCTATGAGTCATGGCTGAGATATTCTGAGAAGAGATGTTTCTTCCAGCATAAGAGAAAAAAGCAGCAAGCTCAATAATATGGTGCTTGCCACCTTCATTTTTTAAAAGTATTAAATATATAGTTTTTTAATTTTTTTTTAAAAAACTGCTGCAGTTATTAATTTGGGGCACCTTTTAGGTTGATTAATAGTTTTATTTTTATTTTTTAATTTCTTTTTATTGAGTTTCTCTTAAAAAAACCCAAAAGAAAAAAAAACAAATCAACAAATTCAAAAGAAATATCCATACATAGCACAAAAATAACACCCATTACAGTTCTTTGTCTTCTTACTTGAATCTTTATATCTTTAGATATTTAAACCTTTCCTCTACACACCCATTTCCTCTACACACCCATCAAACCTGCTATAGTTTTTAGGTCTCTATAGTTTCCTTCAATGTATAAATTTATTCCAGTCACTAATAAACTTTGTATTTTTTTGCATTCTGATTTTTTGTGTCATTTTTGCTAAATCAACATATTCATATAATTTTGTTTGCCAATCTCTGATCGTTGGGGTATTTGGACTTTTCCAATTTTGTGCAAT